GCATACACCAGCAGAGCAATGTGGTTTGACATATCTCTTTGAGTCATCTATTTGAGTTGCAGGCCAGTGAGGAGAGAGAATTTTATTGATTGCTCGGTAACATCATCTAATAACATAAGGCCTCTCAGATTTGTAATGTCTTAGAAGATGGACTATTTTTAATTAATTTTGCTTAAGATTATCCCCCAAATTTAGCACATACATCCCTTACATATACATAAGACTTAATTAAATGTACTGCAATTATGAAACGATTTTTTGCCATATACAGTGCCACAAAAATGACGCCTTACAAGTGACCTGTTCATGTTAAGTGTAGCCTTCAGTACTTTAGGCTGCTTTTTTAATGCTGCGGATTGTCAGTCAAAATATTCAATTGATTTACATTTCAAGTCAAGATATTTTGTTTCTAAGTGACGACATGACCACAAAGTACACGCAGGCTCCCGAATGCTGCTGACTTCATGGAAACTGGAACCACACTGAAGGGGCCTCCACAGCCTGTTAGAGGGACACCTTTACTTTACTTACATTTGCTGGACGTGCTTATGGAAGACTCATTCTCTGCTATTTTATACATCTCACTCAAAGTGACGGCATTCCCTGAACTTCCACTACTGTCTTCATTTTGCTGTTATAATGAAGTGACTAGTTTCTTTGCACTTTAAATAAAACCAAAAAGTGGCCCTTGTTTTCTCATTATTTATAAGGGTTATAAATGTCCTGGCTAAACTTGGTTAAGGGAGATGTGGATTTACTAATATGTCATCGGTGGCTGTAATTAATCAGGCGTTGTGCCCACTCACTCACACACTCTTAAAAAGAAAACACTTGACTAGATGCTGTGTTTTTAAATTCCATTTGAAGTTCACCCTCACTTCATGCCGTCTCCTCAACTGAAGATAACACTGGTCGACTGGTGTTGCATAAGGCAAAAAAGGTAAAGTTGTCCCTGTGCATAACTAATTATGCACTACACCATGAAGGCATAGGGGGAGTGGATGTATACACATTTTCTTGACCTCAGCAGTAGCTGGAGGTGACTGGTCAGCTTCCCACCCCTGCTGCTTTACCCTCAGGGAAAGAGCCCCCGGCACGCATTCGATAGGATGTTGGGTGGACGACGTGGAGAAGAGAAAATTCTTGACACTGCCGGGACTCGAACTCCGATCACTCGGTCTTCTAGCCCGTAGCCAGTCACTATACCGACTACGCTATCCCGGCTCCTACTTGATTTGTGTTCTTTTCAAAATTTATACCGAACTCTATGATGCATCCCCACCTGTGTATGATTTATGGCCATGAGGCGACGCTAGGCTTGGAGAGGATTAAACGTTTTAAACTGGGTAATATTTTGTTAAAAGACAGGAACGCAAAGCTGTGACATTTGCCGCTTTCTATGCGCAAGGCAAGTGGAGTGCCGATGTCCAGATTCACATTCACATATCCTGAAGAGATGAAATGTTAAAGCATATCTTCTGGTCACGCGTTGTACTGCCGTTAAAATTCTCTAAGAGGACTTTCAGTACCCACACTTCATTACGGTTTTTTTTACTCCGGGACGGGAGGTATGCTGTATGTTACTACGGATAACTAGCCCCTTGATCAAGAACATGCTAAACTCAGATGAAAATATTCACACCCGTGACCCGCGGCCTCTACCTTCATAATAAACAGTGGAGTTAGCATTTGGCATGTGCACGTCATGTTTATACCTTGTGTTCAGAGCTGGAAGTAGATATTCTGAGTTACATAGCCGCTCGATGGTCGCGCCATAACTCAAGCGGTTATTCGCTGGCTTCCCACCGCGGCGGCCCGGGTTCGATCCCGGCTCTGGGCAAGTGGGATTTGTGGCGGAGAAAGTGGCGTTGGGACGGGTTTTCTCCGAGTACTGCGGTTTCCCCTGCCAATCTTCATTCCACCAAATTCTCCATCATCATAATCACCCGGGGCAGGTACAATAGGCCAATCAGTGGCCGCCGAGCCGAGTGAACCCAGCTGGACTCTAAGAGAATTAAAAAGAAAATTACATAGCCGCTCCAGGTCAGTATACCAGCCTTTGAGAATGGCAAACACTTGTCAAATGGAAATTATTACAATGTAATATGCGAATTTCTTCCTACACGAATTGGGAATGATAATTATGACGTCTTACGGTTCTGGGGATAATGTACTCAAAATTAAGGGCTCTGGAACCAAGCAGACAGCGTCCACGCTTGTCCCTCCAGCTCCAGCCTTGGTTTCGGAATACTGCAGCGTAATTGGTGTGTTCTTTGTTTTAATTTCTATTCAAATTATTATCAGTTTGTAAGACAGGGAATTAGGTAGCTCTTAATTTTTAATTCTTTCATCATTATAACCTAAATTAATCCCCCCCCTTGGCACTACCGCCCCAGTGGGCCTAGGCCTACCTCCATGAACTCCTCCGTTCACTTCGGTTTTTCTAGATCTTACACATTCGGTAGGACTCCTTGGGCGGGTGATCAGCTCGTCGCAAGGCCTCTACCTGTACACAAACACAGAAAAACTCACACACACAAACTAAACATCCATGCCCTGAGTGGGATTCGAACCCACGATCCCAGTTTCCAAGCTAGCGAAGACAGTACATGCCTTAGACCGCTCGGCTACCGTGACCGGCAACTTATATTAATATTCATTACTAGTATTATTTAACTGCATATGGGTTTTCACCCGGTGGCAGTGGTACTACAATAAGACAACAGACAATTAACATACATTACTACAATAAGACAACAGACAAATAACGCACATAAACACGTTCAAAGAAAACACAGCACACAAACATTAGTAGAAAAGTGAAACATCTATATATAAATAAAAATGTAAATGTTCGTTTGTTACCCCTCGGAAATCTCCGAAAGTTCTTTACCGATTGCTTCGAAATTTTGACACAACGTTGCATTCGAACGCGCGCGTGTTTGTATATACCCATTATGTAGCTGTCACACCTGTGACAGGTAAAAACATGCTTCTTTTGAGAAACAGAATTGGAATTTGGAATTCGGAAGAGTCACCCCTATGGAAACGCTAGAACCGACCGTTGCATAGGAAGTAACAATAGCGATGCAGTATCGAATTTCCATGGTTACGACGAAACACGGAGCGTTCCCACAGAGACACCCAGTAACAATGGGTCGTTGCGTAGGAATCGCGGAATCAACAAAGCAGCACATGGCTGAAGATATTTTCCGTCGAATACGCAAGGAAAATTTCAATATGAACATGGATTTCACGGCAGAAATCTGCAACGAAGCGTTGATAATGATTGAAGATTTGTGCTTAGAAATCGCGAACAAAGTTCTCAATCAATTGGGAATGCCATCACCGAATCGATCTGCTGCTGCTTCGTTCAATGTAGAATTGCGTCGTGAACAAAATTACAATACGGGTGATCTTTTGTCGTATGTGCAATCAAATATTCCTAAGCTAACGCTTGAGCAAAAAGGCATTTACGGTCAGATAATGCAAACTGTCAATAACGGGGTTGCAGAAATCTACTTCTTAGATGCGCCACGAGGAACTGGTAAAACGTTCCTAATTAGATTGATTCTGGCAGCAATTCGATCCCAAAATGACATAGCCTTAGCTCTTGCGTCGTCCGGAATAGCTGCGACATTGCTACCAGGTGGAAGAACTGCTCATTCCGCTTTGAAATTGCCATTGAACATGCAATTCATTGAAACTCCCACGTGCANTGCCTGAAATACTCTACTTTGTGGCGACACGTAAAGACGTTAAAATTAACTACAAATATGCGTGTCCAGCTGCAAAACGATCGATCAGCTGAGATATTCTCACATCAATTGCTGGAAATTGAGAACGGAAAGGTGTCGGTTGATCTGACCTCAGGACGAATTTCGCTGCCTCATAACTTCTGCAATTTAGTGACGTCAAAAGAAGAATTGGTTGAAAAAGTATTTCCCAATATTCAAACCAATTATAAGAATCACGATTGGCTGAGTGAACGAGCTATTCTTGCGGCCAAGAACAAAGACGTCTACGAACTTAATAATATCATTCAGTCTAACATTCACTGCGAGGCAGTCACATACAAGTCCGTCGACACTGTTGTGGAAGCAGACGAAGCGGTTAATTATCTAACAGAATTTTTTAATTCACTCGATCTGCCACAGCAACGCGTGGCCGGGTACAGCTAGTACTATATAATAAACTAACAGTAGTGAATGCATAATGTCATGTTCTCATGTTTTTAATAACAAATTTCACGCAGCTTGTTTTGCCATTCAACCAACCCAGCAAAACTGTCATTAATGCAATGCTGAAGGCAGTCACATCCAGGATATTTAATAACAGTACTATCATCCAACGCAGTGTAAGTTGGGGCCGAGAATTATTGACAGATCGTTGATATGTGTGGGAAGAGGCAGGGAACCAAGCACCGAACTCTGAAGAACTCCATGTTTCAGGACGACCTAGTTTAAGAATGACATCCGTGCGTCCCTTGTTCCGTTGTTGCATTTCCTATAATCATTCTCACGACAAAAATGAACAACTCGAATAAACCAATGTTTTCGCAAGCCATAATATCATTCACGTTCTTCAGCCTCGCAGACCATTGCTAAGGCCATTGAAATTGTGTTGCCATCTGTGCGAGAAATTGATGGGCAGGGCATGTAACACGAATGGAAGAGAAGATGAATGGGTATAGGATTTTGGTGGGAAAGCTGGAGGGAAAGAGACCGCTAGGAAGAACTACACATGGGTGGGATGATAATATTGAGATAGATTTTAGATAGACAGGATGGGGTGAAATGGACTGGAATGATCTGGCTCGGGGTAGAGCCCAGCGGAGGGCTCTTGTGAATGCGGTGGTTTCATTAAGTGTTGGGAAATTCTTGATTAGCTACACAACTTGCGGCTTCTCAAAAAGGGCACATCTCCATGGAGTTAGTGCAAGTAAATGCAACTTACCAAAGATGACTAAGAACTATTCTCTGCCGTTACCTGACATCTGGAGATTGTGTATCAAATGAGAACATGAATAATATGGCGCTCTAGTCCATTATAGACCTCGTAGATTCTCGGCTGTTTACAATTCGGTGTTGTCACTGTGGTGTGTGGAATCTGCAGGAGGCTTAGAGTTGTAGTTAAATTACAGTTACATTTGTATGTCAGTACACTTCTAAATCAAACTGAACGTGGGCGGCATCATTTCCTGCTGAAAGGTAGGCCTATGTTATGAAATACAAATTGAGTTTACCCCTATAACTTTGTTCGTTAAGTGAAATTGGAACTAAATATCGTATTCCGTATTTGTCTTGAATTATAGGCTTTTTACATTTGCATGTTATGAGAGGGAAATGTAATTTCCGTAAAATATATAATGCATTGAAAGTAAAATAACCTCTTCTTAACCAAAAGTATCACATACATTTCGTTCTTCAGGTATGGATGATTTTTCAAGGGGATTTATGCAGTCATAACTGACCATCGTAACTTGAATATCGAAATTTATAATATACACTGCAGTTACAACGTTCAAGGTACCATATATGACGTAGAATTTGAAGCGGTAGCACTGAATAATTCGATTCTTGGGCTGTAGTCCGTTGAAAGTCAAGTAACGTTTCGGAGGAACGTGTCGCCTCCATGCTCAAGGTGGAAGGGTGAGCCATGCAAGAATCAAGTGTGAAGTAGGTGCTACTGCTTGATGCAGTTTCTTGCAAAATTCTGTGTGCTACCTGCTTCATGCTAGTTTCTTGCTTGGTTCATTTTTTTACCCTGAATATGGAGGTGACATGTTCCACTGAAACATCGGTTGACTTTTCAGCGGGCTACATGACATTATATCCTGGAAGATAGAACTTAATGTATATGGCTATGAGCACTTACGACCTAAGAAGCCATATTATTATTTTTTAACCATACTTGTATCAGCTTCTTAGGTTAATATTTTGTTAGGAACATAAGTGAATAAGCTGCTACTACTGATCATAAATCAACTGACAGTGGGCTGAAATTTGGTACTGCTGCAGAATTGGCAGGGTATGCTTAATAGCAAAGTCTTGTTATATGGGAAGTGAGTCACAACATGGATAGTGAAAATGTGAATGCCAACAGTGCACAGCATCTTCCCAGCATTTTTGTTTTGTCAAGTCCAGATTGACTTGAGGTTCTGTAATTTAGTTCACAATAAAAGTAGGCAAATCAGGCACCTGCGTTCGGTGCCAGTACCAGGCCATGTTATACATAGTTTAGTTTCAAGGGTACTTACTCATTGGTCCATAAAATGCTAAGAAGTGTGTGCAGTTTATTCTGTAAGATGGAAACCAGTATATATTAATGCAAGCCCAGATCATGTTTGCTCAGTACCATAGTGTTAATGCTTTAAGTACAGAACATCTCTAATGAAGGAGGTAGCATAGCTCAGGCAGTTAGGTGCTCGCTTCTCACAGTGGAGGCTTGGGTTCAATCCAGGGTTACTTCTTGTGGCATTTATGAAGCATGAAGTGGTTCTAGAGCATACTGTTCTCCAACTTTCTTTTATTTTCCCTTGTTAATCATTCCACCATTGCTGTACACAGAGGTATCACAATTTCTTGAGTGTACACTGTCACTGACCAGGCAGCATACTGTACCATTCCTCGTCGTTCAAGTCTGGGGCTTCATCTCTGACCCAGCACTTTGCTGGTTATAGAGTAAGAAAGGTAGAAATAAGGAGACTTATAAAAGACTAGAATGTTAAAATGCAGAAGCCACTTGTGATGTATGTTCTCATAACTGGTTGCTGCCTCCTAATTCTGAGTGATAATTTTCAAATAATTCAGTAATAGTGCAGTGTTTATAGTAAAATCTTCCCATAGCTTGACAGAATTAAGGCGTTACATATTGTGACTGAAAGAAAATGTTGGCCCTAATCCATAAGCTTCATATATATATCTTCAGGAAGTTACAGTTGCTTGAGAATCATTTTAATTGCGATGATTTTCTGATTTCTTTGAGCACCATGGGAAGAAGTCATTTTTGCATGCAGTCATTCCCGAGATTAATGTGGCATTTATTTTATTAAAGTTATTTACGTTTTGGACGTCATCCACCATCCTCATTTTTATTTAAGACAACATTCCAGAGACTGTACTATGTCTCTTTCTTTAGGTAAAAACCTACTAATTTTATCCCAGTTGATAGAGGTAGTCCCTATCTCAGGAACTCAGGATCTCCACTGTATTGATTTGGCTCTACTGAGAAGGGTTTTTACCTGAGGATGGAGGCATAGTCCAGTCTCCGAAGCATTGTTTTAAATAAAAGCAGGAGATGGATAACGTCCAGGAAAGTTAATAATTGTATTAATATACCATTGTCATTAACTTGCAGTTATTTTATTAGGCCACACCTGTATTTTGTGTGCTTTAGGAAACATGTATTTTTCTTGATTAGGTTATTAAGACAATTTAATGATGTTAGGATGGATGTTTAAATTAATCTTCAGTCAAGAAGTCAAGAAACATTTCAAAATTATGTCTTGCTAATTACCAGTCAATTTAGATCACTCTTGTACATTTACTCCTACAAGCCAGAAGGTCGCGGGTTCAGGTCCTGATGAGGTCATTGGATTTTTCTTCAGTTGACCTAATCCTTCCAGCTGCACTAGGCCCTGGCGTTTACTCAGCCTCTAACAGAAATGAGTACCAGGAATTAATTAAATAATTTTCCTGGGGAGTAAAGCGCGGCCGACGTGTAAGGCTGACAACCTTACCGCCATCTTTGAGCCGATTGTCTAGATAGTGTGGGACCCTCAACGTCTCACAATCCTATGGGCCTTCACGGTCTGGGACAGGGATAGCTTTACTTTTTTTACTTTTACATTTACTCCTTCAGAACTTCCAAAGATATACTCACAAGGACTTCAGGAATGGTGTATTTAATGATGTGACTATTTCAAGTGTTGCTGTCATAGCAATTATAATTGCCAAATAAAATGAATGAATGAATGAAAATGTGTTGTCTGTAGTGCATGGGGACTTCATTCACTTGTGCCAGCTACAATATTAATTCAGTCAGTGCCCCACACTTAACAGTTTCACAGTGCTAAGTCACTCATTCTCTTGTGTAAAGTTTATGGTTCCAACAGCAGCAAGTATTAAGATTCCAGCCTTGTAGGATGTGGCACCATGTTGTTTTTGTGCCTCAAAATGGAGGTTACTGTGAATATTAGTGCCTGTCTACCAAACTACACAGCATTACATCCCAGAAGACCACATTCTTGATATTGAACGATGTGAGAACCATAAGATTCCGTGGTGAGTATTGAGATAATGATCATCTGGGATGTGGTGAAATGTAGTTTGGTAAATAGGTACCTCCTACTGAACTACATGGTGTCACATCCTGTAGTACCTTAATTGTAACATTCATTCTTTTGTTTGTTTTGTGTAGGCAGCTTCATGAAAGCATCATCAGACATCACAAATTCTGAAAATAAGGCATCATAGTACTTGACTGTTTGCTGAACCATTTAATTTCAGTGTATGTTCATGCTCTCAGACTGGAACCTTTGCATTCATTATAGACTGTTCATCAGTATGCCACAGGGGAAATTGCATTTTACTAGAGCATTAAATGTGACATGTTTTAAGTTGTAGCAATTGTTGAAGTTTTGTGGCTATAAAATTTGAATTGAAGTTCCTTCCCCAAACTCAGACACTAGAATGTGGCAGTGTGATGTGTGGTCACGGTTGTAGATCAGCACTGAGCAGTGAGTAGAGGAAAAATTAAGAAAGTTATGGGATAAGCTTGTTGCAGTGCCAGTTTGTCCATCAATATCACATGAAGTCATCCAGGATTGAACTTGAGCTTCCAAAGTTAGAGGGCAGTGTCTAACTGCTTGAGCTGTTTGGTTGGATGTTTTTGGTTTATAAATCATGATGGATACGGAATGGTTTTAAGATGCAGTTTGTATGGATGGAAACAAGGATGCTTTGTCGCTTGAGTGTTGTAAAGTCAAGAATACAATATATTAATGCATTATGTATGCCTACTTATATTGATGTAAGTTGAAAAGAAAAGACCTCAAGGGATATGAAACATAAGCCCACTTTTTTGCTGTAAAACTGCATTTGCAGAATTTGGTTTCATACTGTATGTCCCATTACAAAATTAGTACCTCAAGTTATAACTGGGCTTACGTACACGTAACTGAATCTATTTATGTGAGAACTGGAGGTCCTACAGTGGTGAGTATCAAGTTTACAGCTTGTAGGATGTGATTTTGTACCAGCAACTCAAAGGAAACCCTACCAAACTTCATGTTGTCAGATCTCGGAACACTGTCATCATGAACTTATTTACCTCAGTTAGTAGTTCCAAAATACTGGATCTGTCTAGAATTGCAACTTGAACACAATAGTCAGGTTGTCACTCCTTGTTCAGGAGCCTTCACTTCTTATTGACCAACTTGGGATAGACATGCTTGTCGCTGAATAGCCATTATTTAATGTTTGTAATAGACATAATTGTGACACTATGTCCTCATTCCAGGATGTGTATTGCCAGAGTGTAATTCATGAAAACCTAAGAATTTCACAGCCAGTGAGACTTGACATTCAGTTGGGTGGAATAGAATGTCCTGAAAATAAGAATTCCCATTAATAATTGATGTACTACTAAAGTATGCACGGTTATAAAAATATCCTTCATGGAAAAAGAGAAACTTCTTTTTTTTACTCGGGGATTATGCTTTTTGACAAAATCCCTGGTGGGACACTTATGTAAAGGATCGAGAATCACTGCTGTATATTACAAGGAACTGGGATAGCACAGTTGATATAGCAGTGGGCTATGGGTTTGTTGATCGGGGTTCAATTCTCAGCAGGCACAGGCCACAGATTGGTTCTGGAGCCCACCCAGCCACCTATTTGAAGGGTACTGCATGCTCTGTGGGACGTAAAGCAGCTGAGGTGTGAAGCCATCATTCACCTCCATCTAGTGCCAAGGTTAAGAATGGTGGAGGTATGTCTCCACTCCCAAATATGTCTCGTGGCATAATGCTTAATTAATTAATGGTGGAGGTATATCTCCGTTCCCAAGTATGTCTCATGGCATATTGCATAATTAATTGAGCACATGGACAACTTTACTTTTCTGTACGATACATGCCTATAGTGTCACTTGTGTTCACTGCAGTATATGTTGTTTTTGAGACTTGAGGTTTGCACAGCCATGAGTG